GCTTAAATACATCTAATACATTTTATAACAACAGAAAACATATCTACAATCCGTAATATAGCAAATGGTATCTATAAATAACTAATTACCACTAAAAGATAGTACTTTATGAAAATTTCTCTATTTTATATTTTGAAAGGAAAAGGAACATGAGGAGATGTGTCTCATGCTACTGTCTTTAAGGATACACATAAGAAGAAGAGGATGGTACAAGAGAAGCATGGATCGAACCGCGTGCATCAGAAACATATCTAAGATTCTAACAATACTACCTTTATTATTGGTTAAGATTAATTCGTTTATATAATGTTTGTCAATAAAATTTCAGGAAGGGTATCATAGAAGAATGGAGGAGTGGCAACAAACTCAGCCCGATTCTCAATCGATGCCCGAAAATATGACTTCGATATAGACACAGGCAGCCGGTGGATTAAATAAAGGTATAATATATTTTAGTAATTTTTTATATATGACTTCGTTTTAACATTATTTTTCACAAGTTGTATGTTTCTTCTCTTGCTCATTTAAATATTATTTTTATTTCTCATGAAAATAAATAAAGGTAGAGTCTACGGACTTGGAGCGCAGCCGTCATTCACCCACATTATTTAGTGGTGTTTCTGCTTCACCCGAAGAAATTGAGAAACTACGGACGCAAATCGATGAATTGTCTCAATAATGGAATAATGCTCAAGAAACAATAAGTATGATACAGACATTCGTAGTAAACCATGAAAAATAACATACAATGGAAGAATCTAACAATGAGGAGACTTAAATCGATGATGATCGGTAGTACTAATTTTGAATTTAATATGAGTATAGACTTTGTTGGTTCCCGCTTGGTTGGTTTTATACTTGGATTATGTGTTTTAGACTTGAACATCATTTGGTTGAAGTTTTTATACTTTAATGTGTTTTAATAGATGAGTTTACATTTGTTTGAAAGTGTACGTTGTATAGTTTGGTAGTTTAATACTTGATGTTTTGTTGGTTTGTTGAATAATTGGTTTAATATTTGAATGATTAAATTGGTTGGATGATTGGTTTTGAATTGCAGGTGGTGTATCTTAAAAGGCAATAGAATACTGCTGAAAAAATTCAGATTTTTCGACTGATTTCCTACTACTTTGGTCAAAAAACTTAATTGGGAATTCCCAAATTTACGACTGAAGTCATAAGAAAAAATAATTATTTTTTAATTTAATTTTAATTTTTCCGACCGATTTGGTCGAAAATTATGAATTTAATTTAATTAATTATTAAAATTACCGACCAAAACAGTCCGAACTTTTAAGAAATTATTAATAATTTATTAAATGTGTGATAGATTCGGTCGCAAGATCACCGACCGTTTCGGTCGAAAAAGTCAAATTCAGTAGGTCTCTTAGTTTCTTCCTCTTTGTGACTATTTTGGTCGCAAATTTCTGGCCATTTTACTCGAATTTTTTTTGCAACCATCTATATTCCGACCACTTTATTTTCGTCGGAAATAAGTGATTTCCATCCGATTTGCGACGGCAATGGTGGTCGGAAAATTGATATTTTCTAGTAGTGCTATAACCATGCTCATTTAACAGTTTGATTGATAGGGAAACTTAACTATTCATGCAAAATATATGAGTCATGTCAGATAATTCACCCCCATAAATTAAAACAGGACCAACTCATATAGAGAATAAACTGTCAATTTAAGATAGGTAGATATCATTTTTACAAAGACCCTAGTTTCATTGAATCAACATGTAACTCAGTTGGAGAGTTAATACAAGTTCTCAAACAACTAGAGGCAAAATATAGTAATTATCCATAATGAATCTATTCGATGTGGAAGAAGACCTATGTTGATATATAAACTTATTATATTACTATAAAACATGAATGGATACCATAGAGATTGAACCCTACCACCACTATTTTCGAATTTTTTTTTATTAATTTTTTTTAGAAAATAGAAAAATGGCCAAACCCACATCTAAACGACCCCGAATGTCCGAAAAATGATGTACGTCATGAGCGAAGCTGATGTATATTGCTCACTAAGTTGTTTCCGATGAAATTTCCAAATATGAGGTCAATCAGAGTTCAACATGAAAACAGATTTTCAAAACCATGACAAATTGGCAGAAAATCGATTTTTAGCGTTTTAGGGTTCTAAATATTTTTGACTCATCCATATCATATATCATACTTATTTATGTTAATCCATGATTTTAGAACGCAAAATATTACAAAAAACAGTCCCGATTTTGAGAAAACAACACTATTTTTATAGAATAAAACACAACAAACATGTATAATTGAACATCATGTTTTAAGTTTACTCTATTCATTCTGTATTAATACATTATCTAGTTAGATGTAAGATGACGTCTAATACCAATTGTTAGAACATGCGCAGCAGAAGCAAGCATAAATATCGGTATCACACACATGTAATCTAGACAATGAATTAATAACAGAGATTAGAAGCACTAACCTCTCAAAATTGTTGCACAACTCGTTCGCAGGACAAGAATTTAGGACTGCAGTCTTCTGCTATGATCCTACTTAGCCTTATAGGGAATACTTGTGTGGACAAATATAACCATGCTGAAGAGTCAGTTATTTGGGTGAAACCAGTATTCTATATATAGTACACGAAATTTTTAGCCAAAAACGTGTAGGATTCTACTCCAAGTAGAGAACTTTTCTCCCAAGTAACTTCCTTCTCAAGTCTATTAGTTTTTTACTAGGCATAACAGGGACCATAGAAATAATAAGAGGTTACCAATTATAGTATGAATTCAAAATTTTGGAGTGAATTAAATCCTATTATAATTAATCACATTTTTTCCCACTAAAAACTGTAATTAACTCCTCAATATGAATTTCAAAATTCACCCACACTTATTTTAACTCCCCATGTTAAAATTACAAATACCAATTATTAAACTAAATCATTGTTAATTTAATTTAATCAAATAATAAATCTTTTATAATTCCGCTTAAACTATTTCATGTAACAGATACAAAATCAACCGATCGGGTTTACACATGAAAACTTATAAGCTTACATAAAGGGGTATCATCAAACTCAAGATCGAGTCATGGATTCTATCAACTAATTATTATTTCACAAATGTCATTCGTTATTGTCCAATCTATTAGACATATACTAACTCAAAATAGAGTTGTATCTTTTGATAATCAAAATAATAAACGAATCACATTGATCATAATAACTATATCAAGATTAGGAGTATAAGCTAATTTAATGAATCAGAGAAATTATTTTATATATTTAGTACACAAATATTTGTTCTCTACTCAGTCAATTCAATATACACTAAGTATACTTGCACAAGAAGTTGGAGTAAAACCACTCTCATAATCAAGATAAATTATACTTTAATCTTGTGCTACAATCATCAAGATACTTTGCCCAACAATATCTTTGATAGTGAACATAATTTTATTAATTATGAGAACCGGCAATTTAATCTTCTGTGCATGAGCTAAGACTTCATACACTAAATCGTCTACTGCATAATTAAATGACACACATGTAACAAATGATATATTTAAAATAATAATTTATTGAATTGGATAAACTAAATAAACAATTGTTCCATAAAATATAAAACATAATACTATAGTTAAACTGCATGGTTAATAGTATATCCCAATACTAAAAAAATGTCAAATATTTGAAACGTCTCAAATTAAAACTATGTCATATAAATTGAAAATTTGAAACATGAAGTATGTTTAATGAAGTAAGCTCTTCGTAATTCAATGAAGGAATATATATACATTATTAACTGCTAAGTGGAACTCACAAATTGACTATCAAAACTTATACTTGGTACAATATTGTTCGTATTTTACCACTTAACATGTGTCAATTCAAAATTCTCGTGATTCTTTTTCCTAGTCCATCTCGTGAATTATGGGGAACTTGACATTTGATCAATCTACAAAAGTACTCCTTTGTTAGTTGTTAGTTGACTGGGTCTGTTTTTCCTTTTTAAATCAAAATATCCCATATAATAAGTCAACATCTTGTCTCCTTCTCGGACAAGCAAGTCAACAAACATGGTCAAGACTACAATGTTGTCTTGTGCTTTGCAAGGAGCCAGAGATTTTTCCCAATCCAATTTTCTGGGAGAGCCACCAAAACTAGTATATCTATATCCCTTGCAAGAATTACGCCTAGTGGTTAGGCATTGAAGCTACATATTTTGCCCCCTCATGTTTTTATCGTAAAGTTTTGGTTTAATTCTTCGGTATTCGAAAATTGACGGACTCGACAAATATATTGCACATTCATTTTGGGCCGGCTCAGTAAAAGAGTAAAACACTTAATGAATACTTGACCATAAACACCACGAGACTTCTATCCAAAATTAAGATAAAATATTGTTTGGGTTATGACAGCACCACTATCACTTATGCGCAGGTTGTTTCCCACTAAAGGTAGAGGGAGGGATTTTAAAGATTTTTCTTCATGTCACATTTTTCCTATGTCACATCTCACATGAGATGGTCATATGAGAGAAAATGTTTGAGCACTCTACCATAAAATTCAAAAGTATAACGACTACTGAGTCCAGTTTGTCTTGGAAGTTTAACAAAAATATGTATTTTATTCATAAAAATCAAACACGACACAAATATAGCACATTGCAAGTGTAGAAAAAACTGGCACTTTAAGCTGTAACGGAGTGACAGCCATTAAGCCTACAAATCAAGAAACAAAACTAATATCCCGTTTGGCCAAGCTACAAAAATCAGCTTATTTTGAGAAGTGTTTTTTTTTCAAAAGTACTTTTGGTGAGAAACAGTTTGTGTTCGGCTAATTAGTTTGAAAAACACTTCTGAGCTGCAATTAGTGTTTGGCCAAACTTTAAAAAACTGCTTTTAAGTGTATTTTTATCAAAAGTGTTTCTCAAAAAAGTGTTTTCGAAAAGAAGCTACTTTTTTCTGCTTCTCCAAAACTGCTTCTGCTTCTCCTCAAAAGTAATTTTTTTTTCCTTTCAAAAGCTTGGCCAAATGCCCCAATTTTTGGCCAAAAGTGATTTTAGCAACAAAAGAAAACACTTTTGACCAAAAAAAAAGCTTTACCAAACAGGCTATAAAAATTGAGAAGTCAAAATAAAAAAGAACACGAGAAATAGAAGATTCCAAATCAACAGATTTTCATATAAGCAAATTAAAGAAGCAAAATTAGTTGATCCTCTTGCAATTCTTCCTGATCTCTCCTTTAGATCCAGTAAGGGGACGGATGTCACCCATCTTAATCATGGAAGTCACCAAATCAGTAGCGAAACTGCTGGGGTTGTCGCTGTATGATTTCACAGTTGAATCGGCCGATCCGCCGTTGAAGAGCTGCTGATCAGAGTGGAGCAAACCCTTTTTGCTTACAAGGTTTATGAAATAATGGTTGTCCAAATATGTAGGAGTCTGAAGATCAAGAGGCGCCAAATTGTCGTCCCCTGAGCCTAAGTTTTTTGGGCAGTTGTTTTGCCTGGTTTTTGTTAGTGATGAATCCAAGTTATTGGTCTCGTTGTATCTGCGTCTCCTGAAACTAGTGCACCTTGCTTGTCCAATGGTGTGAGCTCCTGACAAACATAACCACAAAATTGCCTATTAGAAAGAATTTGAGTAATTTGTTTATATCGGTCATACCGGGCAACTTAAAAAGATGGGTGGCCTAAAATCAATTTTTAATCTGGGGCCTTGCAAAAGAAAAAAATAATAATAATTCATTTATATTTTTAATTAAAGTTTATTTTTTTACTTTTTTAAAATGTAAAGTTGTTAATAGTTTCTTTTTATTAATAATACTCCAATTTAATATCTCCTAAGATATTGTTGATCTTAGATAATAGAACCATATTTAAGAAGTTGAGTGATTTCAAAATTATTTTTGATGTTCTAATATACTTATTGAAACGTTTGAAACCTGAAGGGAAAAAAGAATGCAAATATAGTTTTATTCAATAATATTCTTCCACTCTTGTTTTTTGTATAGAAAAAATAAAACTCTTTTCTTTCTACGGAGAACAATATAACTTTTAATTGGAAAAAGAGAATCACTCCTCTAAACATTTGTCGCGAAAATAAACTTTTTATTAGTTAAATTTTACGATTAACATAATTAGTGTAGTACCTATATTATTATTCCCCTTTTACATTATTCACTAAAACATGTAATAAACTTTAGAATCCATTTTTTGGTATCTTTAATAGTCCATGTCTTATTTTTTATCTTTACCTTTTATAAAATATTTTATTTTTTTATTTTAAAATACTCAATATATTTAGACCCTACCTCTAAAAATTAATGTGAGATATATATGATTCAACTTACCTTAATTAGATATATTGGGTTCGAGTCATGTGGTTAAACAAATCCTGTAAAAATGTGTTATCTCTTTTACTAGGCCTTACGCGTTACGAATCTAGATTAGTCGGAATCTCAATACAAATACGTGTAGAAATCAACAACAACAACAACAACAACCCAGTGTAATCCCACAAGTGAGGTCTGGGGAGGGTAATATGTACGCAGACCTTACCTCTACCCGAGGGGCAGAGAGGCTGTTTCCAGGAGACCCTCGGCTCAAAGAGGCAACAAGAGACACTATATTAGTACTATCAATAGACTCATAATAAAACAACATAAAATACCATAAAATCCATAACATAACATAAATACCATAAAAAACAAAATAACAGCAATATAAGAGATATAGGAAATACGAGAAAGATGTAAGGTATTAATACACAGCAGATAAAGCCCATCATCAGTAGTTGATCAATAGCATCCTAAGACTACTTCCTAACTGGCTAGTCTCACTCTAGTGCGCTGTAAAAAAGACATCACAATTTCCCTTAACCTACAACCTTAATGCTCGATCTCCACAATTCCCTGTTTAGGGTCATGTCCTCAGTAACCCTAAGTCGCGCCATATCCTGCCTGATCACCTCTCCCCAATACTTCTTAGGTCTCCCTCTACCTCTCTTCGTACCCACCACCGCCAGTCATTCATACCTTCTCACCGGTGCATCAGTGTTCCTCCTCTGAATGTGCCCGAACCATCTGGGTCTTGCTTCCCGCATCTTGTCCTCCATGGGGGCCACACCCACCTTCTCTCGAATATCTTCATTTCTAATCTTATCCTTCCTTGTATGCCCGCACATCCACCTCAACATCCTCATCTCTGCAACTTTCATCCTCTGGATGTGTGAGATCTTCACCGGCCAACACTCGGTCCCATACAACATAGCAGGCCTAACCACTGTCCTATAAAATTTACCTTTCAGTAACAGTGGCACTTTCTTGTCACACAGGACTCCCGACGCTAACCTCCATTTCATCCACCCCACCCCTATACGGTGTGTGACATCCTCGTCGATCTCCCCGGACCCCTTAATAAACGACCCCAGGTACTTGAAACTACCCCTCTTAGGAATGACTTGAGAATCAAGTCTCACTTCCACTCCCGCTTCCGTCGGCTCTGCCCCAAAAAACCCTTACTTTATTGGCTTGACCCTTGGACCGCCCCTGCGGTCCTAGTATAAAGAATATTTGCACGATGAGTATTGTACCAAGTTACTCTAGTTACGGAAAAGGATCATATTAGCTCATGTTATACTTTTCAACATTATTTATCTTTGTGGTTGCCCTTTTAAAGTCAAACAAATACTCTTGTCTACCTTTAAAAGGACAGGTGGGGGGCATCTGTTTATCCGGGTTATTAGCCAACCCATACCCATAAAAGTAACACATCTACCCGGCAAATATGACCTTGTTGCGTTATTTTTAAGAGGTGTTTTTGAAGAGATGCGCTAGAAGAGTACGAACCAGATAAGGCAAGCATATCCTTGGTGGAAAGGCCAACAGCACTGAAGCTAGAGATGAGACGGTTAAGGTTAGAAGTTGGGGGAGGAATGCTACTGTTTGCAGCAGCTTGGCTTGTTGTTCTGGCACCTCTTCTTCCTAATTTTACATCCTGTATACAGTTAAAACCGGGCCTACCCGATTTCACTATTTGATTGAGGCCAGGGAACTGCATCGAAGGTCTGCCTCGTAGTGGATTAGGCCAAAGTACGAAGACAAGGTATCGAGTTCGAGGATCTAGGTGCCTGTTGAAATCGAGATCAACAACGATCGAGACCTAATATGGCAGACTTCGAGCAAAGCTCAATAATGAAAAAGCGAGATATCCGCGACCGGTCAAAGATCATGACGGAAATTCCGGAACAAATCAAATCAAGGGTGATTGTTTAGGCTAATCATGGGCTTTACCTTCGTAATTAGAATTGTACCATAGATAAGATTTCTCTGCTATATAAAGAGGGTTCTGATCATTTTGTAGACACCTTACATTCACGCATATCAAAGCGATACAATACTTTCTAGCTTATATTCTTATTCATCAGATTGTTATGTTTCTAACTGTTCTTGCATCGATCAGTTCGAGGATATTCAACTCGAGGGCTGAATTCCGTCCAAACACTGGTTTGCTTAACTTTATTATCGATTTCTACTATTACACTTTACGTTTATCAATTAGTATTAGGTGGAATCACGTGTCCTTAAAACCACATTATAAATTTAATTATTATCCAATTTTAGGGGTAAACACATCCCAATTAGGCTCTCCAAGCTACATTATATACAACAACAATTTGCGTTAGCAGAAAATTCAAAAGGAGGTTTACAATGAAAATTGTTGTATTAATAACATCAAGAACTTACAATGACAACAGAGTCTCGGGCAGTAACGGCCAAAATATCAGCACAAGAGACGACACCAGGGCACACTTTTTCAACGGCGAATTTGATATCGTCAATAAATTTAAGTGACGGATTCAAAATTCATCGACCGGGTTTATACATAAAAACTTATAAACTTACATAGAGAGATATTAGCAAACTCAAAGTCGAGTCATGAATTCTATCAGAGAAATTATTTTATATATTTAGTACAAAAATATTTTTTCTCTACTTGGTCTGTTCAATATACACTAAGTATACTAGCACAAGAAGTTAGAGTAAAACCACTCACATAATCAAGATAAATTACACGTTAATATTATGTTACAATCGTTAAGATATTTTGCCCATTTTGTCCAATAATATCTTTGATTGTGAACATAATTTTATTAATTATGAGAACCGAAGATTAAACTTATGTGCATGAGCTAAGACTTCATACACTAAATCGTCTACTACATAATTAAAGAACACATATGTAACAAATGATCTATTTAAAATATAATAATTTATTGAATTAGATAATTAAATAAATAATAATTCCATAAAGAATAAAACATAATATTATAGCTAAATTGCATGATTAATATTATATTCCAACATTTGAAAGATGTCAAATATTTGACACGTCTCAAATTAAAACAATGTCATATAAATTAAAATTTTGAAACCAATGAAGTATGTTTAATGAAGTAAGCTTTTCGTAATTCAGTGAAGGAATATATATACATTATTAACTGCTAAGTGGAACTCGTAAATTGACTATCAAAACTAATACTTGGTACAATATTGTTCGTATTTTACCACTTAACATGTGTCAATTCAAAATTCTCGTGATTCTCTTTCCTATTCCACCTCGTGAATTGTGGGGAACTTGACATTTGATCAATCAACTAAAGTACTCCTTTGTTAGCTGTTGGTTGACTGGGTCTGTTTTTCCTTTTAAAATCAAAAAGCTAATATAATAAGTCAACATTGTTGGATCCGTGGTTATCCTGTATTTGTAAATAATAATTTTGAAAAAAAAAACGTTATCTTATAAACGTAAATTTAAATGATACAGAAATTAATTCGAGCCCACTGAATTCACAATGTTTCCTTAAGGAATTTATTCCCCTTCTAGTACCCAAGGTTATAGATTATTTCCTTCCAGGATAGAACGAATTACACACTGGTGTAGCGGTACTTCAAACTCCAGTGTTTCAGCGAACACAAAGTTCGGCATCAAATCACACTTATGGATGCTTTGTTTGTAGTTAAAAACAATGCAGAATAAGGAGGACAACTCAGAAGTCGAATGGAAATTTTGAGAGGAAGAAATGCAAAGTATAACCAATGTTGAATTCTTACTGAAGAGAATATCAGATTGCAATTCGTTTTTCCAGTGTATACGCAGTGTATACAGAGTATATATCCAGTATATACAAAGTGTATATCCAGTGTATACAGAGTGTATATTAAGTGTACACAGAGTGTATCGAGTGTTTTTTTCGATGTGTTCTGCTTTCTCTCCAACTTATGCTCTATTTATAGCAGTTATTTGAGAGAAATCCGCCCCCTCCATGGTGCAACAAGCACTAGGCTATCATGGAGAAAGCACTTACATGGTGGAATGTATACTTGCTTGGTGGGAGGAGCACTTACACCATTGTGGGAGGTGCATTAGGCTGCTTATTGCTTAGTGTTGCAATACAATACACGGATTGGAAAACATCCGTTACAAACACGGATTATATCACGTTAATATTCACTATTAACAAATAAATTTGGTCCAAAAAATTAATCAATCGATCGATCATTTGACCAAATCCGAATCCAAATC